AAAAAAAAAAAAAAAAAAAAAATTAAGAGAGAAGCAAAAACACAAGTCCGCTGAGAGCAGTAACTAATACAGCGGCCATATACGACAGCGAGATAGGAAATGATCGACGATCAATTTTATTGTTGTACTCACCACGGATTTGCTTGACGTATTTTTCACTTCGGAACGAATTGCTGACAGACTCTAACAACGTGTGCAGACACCGCAGATTTTCTCTACACGTGCACTCGAGTTCCGTCTACAACATAAGAAAAACTTGCTTCAATCCGAAAAAAATCCATTTTGAATTGAATCTTATTTATTTAATTTCCATCACCGTTATTAAATGATTTAATAAGAATCTTAAAATCTTTAAAAAAAAATTAAACAACAATTATCGATCATTCGATTAACATTTACTGAAGCGTGTGAAAGCAGAAAAGATTGCGAAAGAATATTTATAATAGAATTTATAATAGAATTAAATTAATAATAGAAATTAATAATTAAGAATTAAATAGATTTCAAGAATAGAAAGCCTTAAATACTGCAAACTGTACCTTGTAAATCTGCATTCAGAAACGGTTCTCACAAAACTCGTATCCTTCTAAGGAACAACATGAAAGTAAGAAGCATAAATATTGGCTTGAATATTTATCATTATTATTTGCAAAAGCGATGGGATAAGGATAGGATAATAGGATAATAGAACGTGCAAATAAATATTATACAAAACTTGGATCTGTTTGTATCACAATTATTTCGTACACGATTCGAACGTATTTCCTTGTGAATGTTTTTATTTTTTTATTCGTAATATCGTTTCTTATATAAATAAATAATGAAACGATGAAAAATGATGAAAGAATATATTAAACAAAGAAAAAAAAGGTAAATCAGGTGAACGAACACAAATAAAAAATAAATAGAAAAAGAAAATCTGTTTGTTATTAAAATAATTTCCTTTAATAAAAATAATTTATTTATATTTTTACAACATATATATCTATATATATGTATGTGTGTATGCGTGTGCGCGTATATCATCTATTCATGAATAATAGTTAAAAGGAAAATATATATTCAACTATGCTATTCTACTATCACATCAAACGTTTCAAAATACATAGAAATTATTTATACAATATTAAGCATAGGAACAATAATCTTTATAAATAAATTGTTAAATAAATTTAAAATAAAAGTGAAAATATTTAAAAATCAGCGTTAAAAAAATAAAAAAAAAAAAAAAGAAGAAGAAGAAAAAGATCAGCGACAGAACACAGATAATTGTTTCGATACACAAGCGATCATAGAAATATTTCTTCGTTATAATTAATAATTACGTTTTTAAAAACTTATGATAAAGACGAACGACGTACAATCTTAATAAATTTAAAATGGAAGCGTAAAAAGCATAGAGAAGCCCATAAGCAGCAAAAATAATCGTATTTTTCGTAGACGCATTACAGAACGCACGCTAAACATACTAGAAAATAGACCATGCAATCGTGCATGCGCATAATATGAACGCATGCCGTCTACAATCTTATAATAAAAGCGTGAAAGGAACATTTTTATATTTTTTAGTAAATTTTTGCACACTCTGTACAACTTTTGCATCAAGTACGAAAACAACACCTCTAATAATATACGTACGAAATCTTCTTGCATCGAGCCGTTGTTCGACCTCGAGAACAAATTCTCAGCGAGTGACAATTGACTTTGCGATTTCTCCACTATGTTCCGGATATCATCTACGTCGCTATCGCTATCTTCCGTCGTATCCGTTATTTCCTGTAAACAAATTTCAAATTTTCTTAATTTCTCCGTTTTCCTCCGTTTAACTCTTGTAATCGAATCAATCAAATACACGATTAATTACTTATCTTTGCACAAGTTACACATTCATTCACGAGGTTAATTTTACTTTGAGATCGTTTCTACGTTTATTCTTTCAACGAATGTTAAAAGATTTTTAAAACTTCTTTCGAATAGGATAATAATTACGAAAGACAGCGTGTAAAAGACATTGAAATCGAGCGAGGAAATTAAATTTTTGTCGGCTCGAAAGGTTAAAATTTCTTTTTACACGCAGCTATCACAGCTATCTGATTTATTGGTCAAGATAAGAATTAATTCCATTGTACGTAGAAACGATCCTAACTACGCAATATGTGTATCACACATGAAAATCGACGTTAAATATAAAAAATCTAGTTAAAATTATTCCAAAATAGTTGTATTTTTTTTTTATCAATAATGTAACAATAATATTAAATGTTAAATACTTATATTTATTTGATAATAAATATACTGCGAATACATTTTTTATATATAGAAAAATAACTAAAAATTGGACGAAAATAAATGTATAAAATTTTATTCGATACATCGTAATAATTCATCAGAATATAAACTCGATATTTGTCGTCAAAATCTTGCTCCAAATACCGTCCACGAGACATCTCTGGCAGCGACTGTGTCAGTAATTACTTCGTTTATCCTCGTTAAGAGATCATCATCGCAGAGACGTTCATCTCATAGAAGGCTTGATAAAAGACGAGAAAGAGAAAGAGAAAGAGAGAGATTCGAACGGAGAAATGCGTTGCGTGAAAGAAAATTTCATTTCAAGATAATATTATGCGCGAATGGACTAGAAAGTGCTAACCAATAATCATTACGTTTGAATTATATTCTTGAGATGAAAAGAAAAGAAACTCATGAATAATTCAACTCGTTTCGAATAGTGCGTGCAAAAATGAAAAAAAAAAAAACCCATGAATAATTCAACTCGTTTCGAATAGTGCGTGCAAAAATGAAAAAAAAAAAAT